AAATCAGCAAATTACACATTGATTATAGTATGTGCTGTAGATATAGAATCCAGCGCTTCAGCTACATGAAGTGGTCCAGGAACAAGTAGCATTCCCAATATGGGTAGGACATTGCAAGCAAAACAAGAGTGGGAAAAGCAAGGGCAATCTTGATTTCAATTGTTGCATTTGAGTTAAAAATAAATTACAACGTGTCTTTGAGCTATTTCCTCAGCAAAGAGAAGAAAGGCATTTGATGCATCATAAATGAAAGTGCAGCAATGACCCTTGACCATTTTTTCTGCAATGAGGCTATAATCTAGTGTTAACTGATAAATGATAAACCCTGGAAAACAATATTTAAGCCTTTGAGTTTGATATTACTACGGCCTTTCATTCCGCTCAGATGTCAAAACTATTTGGCTGTCTTATAAAACAGTTGAAATGTAACCTTTGAATACTAATATAAACAATTTGGCATGATATTTCTATAGTAATACCCAGCCAAGACAACAGCTGCCTCCTGACAAAATGAGTTCTTAATCACATAATACCAAGCAAGAGCCCAAAATGCATTATAGCTGCTGCTACTCTGAAGACATTATGTCAGCATATAATATTTATCTTATTTTGTAAAGGCTTATTTTAAGTACATCATGCTCCTGCCTAGCTACTGTATCTTTTCTATTAAGAATAGCCTGGATTAAAATTATTACCTTGTATGTTTGTAGTATGTTCAGAGAAGACAATTTATAGAACATCACAGTATATTTTAAAGCAACAATAAAAACTCTTTATATTGTATGATTTTCTAGATAGTAACATCATACAGGTAGACCTTGTGTTATGACCATTTGTTCAGTGACTGTTCAAAGTTACGGCAGTGCTGAACGAATGGTATTTACACTCAGTCCCCATAGTTACAACTATTGCAATGCCCCCATGGTCACATGATCAAAATTTGGGCACTTGGCAGCCTGCCTGCACTTACAATCACAGGGGCGCTTCAGGTCCCCCCACCCATCTGCCCCCATCTCTGCCCTTTTGGCCACCCTGCACGCGGCACTTCTTGGCAGTGGTACTGGGGCTGAAGTAGAGGCCCGGGGCCTTTCAGCAGTCCACCACCATCCATGGGCCTCTACTTCAGCCTAACCATCCCTGCCAGCAAGCACTCCGCAGGCCCTGCTGCCCCCAAGCTGACTTTCGCAGTCTTCCTCCCATTGCTGATGAGGCGCACCCAGCCTGACCCTATGCCAGGCAGCTGCTGACCATGCAGGCCTCCTTCCCAAAGTCGCTCATAGTGTTCTCCAAATAGCACACACTGTTCTCATGTTTCAAAGACTTCTGAGGCCTTCTAAAACATCATGAGAAGGCCATGCCCACCATTCTCAAAATCATGTGTGCCGTTCTTGTGATGCTTTGGAAGGCCTCAGAAGTTATTTGGAGTATAGCATGAGTGGCCTTGGGAAAAAGGCCTGGCATGGCCAGCAAGTCAGCTGGAGCCGGCAGGGGCAGCAAGCACAGGGCCACAGGGCTGGCAGGGCAGGGCGAGCAGAGCGCAGGGTGGCAAGGCTGGCAGAGGTAGTGGAGTGCAAGGCAACCAAAAGGGTAGAGATGGAGGGGGGGGGGGGGGGGGAGATAGGTGGATGGAAGAAGTTGAAGAGAGGCAATCTGTCAGGCCCAACCCAAGAACAACAAAACCTAAACCTAAACAGACTAAACCTACGCTAAAGCAACTAGGGGCCAGTCTCAGCTTCTTCCTTTTCTCACGGTCCTGCTGTGGGCTGACAAAGTGCTTGCTTTGTAACCTCTCCAGGAATGCTCATCTTCCCTCCTGATAACCTTGATCCCCCATTCCAGTATCCTCTTCTCACATGCCTTCCATTACACAATACTTAACCTTACTGAGGCTCAGGGCTGGGAGGGACCAAGCCGGGAGTGACTTGGATCAGGGTGGGTCCTTGCCTAACGACTGGTGGGATTCAGTTAACAATAGCAATGGGGAGTGCAGGGATTGCCATTGCGATGCAATGCGGTCACATGACGTCATGCTTTATAACCCCATCACTTAGCAATAGAAATTCTGGTCCCAATTACCATCATAACTCAAGGACTACATGTATTTTTTTCCCCCCTCAAACTAGCAGAAAAGATCTAACTTTCTCCTTAGGATGCTTTACTCATTCCACTCAAAGAATGAGATCCAAACAATGTTTTCTTCAAACTGAATTGTTCAATGTTTCCCACTATCTTTTTTCCACAAAAATACGTTAAGTCAAAAAGAAAAAGTAGCTGCACAATCCATTACATGTATTCCTTGATTAGCAACCACAATTGGGACTGGCAATTTGGTCATTAAGCAAAGTGGTTGCTAAGTGAAACCGCAACTGTCCTTATGATCTTACTTTAGCTTTCCTTGGCTTTATAGACTTGTGAAGGTCATAAATGTAAGGATCAACCGCAAAGTTACTTTTTCATCACCATTGTAACTGTTAACAGTCACTAAAGGAGGCAATCCCTAAACAATGGCTACTTGTACTTTAAAAAGTCTGGGTGCTGCAGCAAATTGGACTATTTTTAAGAATGCAATCCTATATCTGTTCACTCAGATGCAAGTACAATTGAGTTCAATGAAACTTAATCCCAGGTAATTGTTTTGGAGGATTGTAGACTATGGACCTTTATTATTTTGTTTGTTTGTGCTGTTCCTCACTGTCGCCATTTTCATGCTTGTATATTTCACAGTAGAGGAAGAAATATTGGTTCACTACCACCTTATAGGCTTTTCACAGGGATTAAAGATTACTGGGCTGACTTGTTCAAAGGACAAAGTGACTACAAAACACTTTGTGCAGTGTTGTGATAGGAAAAATTAGGACAAAAACAGCCAAGTCTTGCATTTGAATCTTTGAGGGAACTCAAGCAGAAGCACATCAACTTGGTAGCACTAGCAGAAATACTCTAACACAATGAGCATCAACGAAAATGCCTAGTTTACACCATAATAAAAAGGGAAAGTCTTCAAGTTAGCCTCAACAGACAGACAATAGTCTTCTTCCCAAGTTTTTTTTTTTCATTTATAAAACTGTGCCTAATGTTCAAATTTTCAAGCAAATCCTGAAATCTTTAATATTTTTCTGGTTTATATTTGGGTCATTCATGATACTCTAGAACCACTATTACAACCCAGCCAGAGTTCTAGACTTAATTGGTACTGATTTTAGTGGAACTGTTATAAACTTGCTTAATATTCCCATTAGGGAAAAAATGGGTTTTAAAGAAGGGAGCCTTGTCTGGTTATAACCTGTGCCTATTGATTCCCCATAAATAATGTCTATTTCAGTTACAAAGTATTAATTAGCCACGAAGCTAGAATAGTTTAATTATCTGAGTACTGGATTTCAAACTGAGAAAACAGCTTTAGAAACTCTACTCAGTTATGAGCTCTTCATAAGGTTTTGAACAAAACAGTAACATTTATCATATGGCTTTGAAGTCATCAGGTTAAAAATTTGCCATTTTGCGAAACATTTTCTTATGTGTTCTATTCTTATTAAATATTTCCAAAGACATTTTTCTTAAGTCTTCATTATTCATATAGCTAATTTCTATAAAAGACTAGTTTTTGTGCTGTTCCACTAGACAGCAAGTGAGGACACCAAGGGGTTCATATTAGAGTTGTTCTGAGATCCAAAAGGGCAAAATGTGATTCAGAGTGTGGATGGGCATCTGTCAGGAAAACCTTAGAACAGTTGTTCTCACAGCTGCCCTCCACAGCTAATACAATCTCTTACTAAAGAGATGCATTTGGTTTAAGGTGTTCCCAACAGATGGTATGTGAAAGACTATGTATATGCTGAATCATTTTGCGCTCTGACTCCAGATGGCAGCACAATGCAATTAAATACCTGTTCTCAAAATATGAAAAAGTGCTCATAGAAGTCTAATATATCAGAGAGAACATTTGAATCTTTGACATTTAAATTGCCATATGCAAGAAGATCTGCTACAGCCATTTATAAAAATCACTTATTGTGGAAACAATTATGTCAATTCCATTTAAAGGCCAAGCCAGGCAGAACTACCATCTTATTGGCTATTGGGGGGACTAATTCTTGCTGACCATGGGGAAGAGCTGTTCTCATCATTCTTTAATGGAAAGATCATTTATTTTATCATCAACACATAACAAAGGTAGCTTAAGTGGAAGTGTGATTTTTTTCATCATCCTAGCATGCAGTGTTGTACAATATATATTAAACATGCTCAACGTGCTACTGAAAAAGAGCTGAGGATCTTTCAGAGTACTAATGGTATTTATGACATGGCTATATTAAAGCCTTTGGGACATCTAGTTGCTAATGTTGCCATGTAGGAAAATAAAATCTGAAACTGCAAAGACAGAATTACAGTGGCAACATGGAATGTAAAAAGCATGAATATGATAAAGCTCAACACAATGAAAAGAACTGACTACAGACACGTTAGGCATTAGCTAATTAGATGAACTGGAATTGGACACTTTCAGCCAAAAGATCATACTTTTTACTACTCAGGACAAAAAAAAACAAAGAAAGAATGGCATTGCTTTCATAGTCAGGAAGGATATTGTAAAGACAGTACTTGGGTACAACGCAATCAATGATTAAATAATGTCAATTAGATTTTGCAGACAACTCTTTAATATGATGATTATCCAAGTTTATATCTCAACCACTGATGCAGAAGAGGAGGAGGTCGACAAGTTTTTTGCTCAAGTTGAATCTGAAATTGAGAGAATATGCAAGCATTCTGTGCTGCTTGTGGTTGGAGATTGGAATGCCAAAGTTAGAAATATTCAGGACACATGGCTTGACAGCATGGCCTAAGAAACTGAAATGAAGTAGAATGACTTACCAATTTCTCTCAATCCAATGATTTTTTTCATTGCTAACACTGTCTTCTAACAGCCAAAATGATACCTGCATATACATTTATATGTGAACATCACTAGATGGAGTACACAGAAATAATATGGACTATTTTATTGGTGGAAAACAAAAAGGTGGAAGACCTCAGTTATTACAGCAAAAAATGGGCAGGAGCTGACTGTGAAATTGATCATGATCTGCTCATGTGCAAGTTCCAAGTCAAGATAAATTTGAATAACAAGGCCAACTGGTTTCCACTAAATCAATCAACCAATCATCAATCGAGCATAAGTACATAACTTCAGAGTTATTTATTTCCATTCCCAGAGACAAATTATGACAGCTACAACAAAAATATAAAAAGACAACTACAGAATCCATAATAATACTTCATTTAAATGCCAAATACCACTATCAAGTTGGAGATAATAGCTTTCCAAAATGGAATTGACAGCATCAATTGCACATAGTTAAAGAGGAAGATTGACACATAGAAGTTAAAATGTAAAGGTATTTGTTGAAATGTTGGCATATGATCACTGCCCTCTTAAGTAGAATTAGTACTAATTGTTTTGGAGTTTCAGTGTCTCCAAACATAATCACATTTCATTATATCATTAAAGAGTGCAGTGTATATATATAAAGTACAATAGGAAAATACATGTCCTTGTCCTTTAAATTTTAAGTTGATTTTTAAACTACACATAGTTGTTGAAAGTCCATTATTTTAAAACATATATGCAATTGTTTAAATATATATACTATCTTTGTAATTTAAGCAGAATATAGGTCTATAATAAATACTGGAAAACTCTACAGAGTCTTTTTTAAAAGGAACAAAGACAGATATGACATCTGTAAATCTGAAAAACAGTGAATATAATTATTTGACATTTATACTGGAAGGAAAACTGGATATAGAAAAACTGAATATCTTCTGTTTTGTGGAAATAAATTTACAGACCCCTTTTAAATGCACAATTCATTAATATATATCTATATTGCAATCTGTATAATACAGGACTTAAAACATTTGTTTTTTCTACATAAAAATATACATTTGTATACTTTCATTTTCAAATGTATAGGTTAACCAGCAAGATTTCAGTGTACAACATTTTGTATACATGGAAATGAAAGCTGATATTTTGTAAAATCAGTTTAAGAGTAGAACATTACTAATTTAAGTAAATTTATCATAGCTGATAGTTTATGCATCAAAAGGTTTTTCACTTGCTCAGATATTTTCTAAAATTATATTCAGCCCTTCTTAAATTTGTAAACAAGGCACACACAGCAACCAATAGCGATATAGTTGTTAGTGTCAACATGAATTGAATTTAGCCTACTATTCATAAATGCCACAATATCTTGAAGGAAAGTTATCTAAAAATATTTTTCATAACAAAACATAAAATGAAAATAAATGCACACCTAGATAATTTGGCTCTATAAACTGAGATTCACAGCCTCTGCACTTAGTTTACCACCACTTAAGCTATGTATCATTGCGATCATATGAGAATGTTTGTTCAGTTCTTCTTGTTGAAGCTTGACTAAGGTCTCCTTTTCTTCTAGTCGTCCTTCCAATTGTGACCTCTGAACTTCCAAGGAAGATGCCTGAAAATACATATTAAACATTATTTAATTACAGTTAACAAACATGCAAATGTATTCTCTATTTACATTGGTTGAAATTAAAACCCAATAAATCCCACGCTACAGGTAAGGAAGCTTATTCAGAACATCTAAACTGATAAATCTGTTGGCAATTGGACAATAAATCATAAAGCATGCTTTGAAGTGGCTTGGTTGTTAATTACTGTTTGTACTAAGTATATCTTGGTAGATGATTCAGTTGATAAATTATAGTCATGCAAAATTTCAGTGAACCAATTAACAGAAACATTAAAGGAACAGGAAAAAAGCCAACCAACAACTTTGAATCATGGTGTGCTTTCTGTAATTCAAATAACAGTAAGGTCACACTATGGATTGCCTTATCACCAATGCACACTATTATCTTACAAAAAGGTATTTAATTAAACAATGATATATCTGATGTACTTTGGACAAGAACAAAAACAAACCAGTTGTTATTTAAAATCAGCAGATGCTCAACTGATTCCTTACTCTATATGCAAAGGTTTGAAATGAAAAGTCTAAATCTCTTTAAATGAATCTTGTTAATACAAACATCTAGGAAAATACATGTTTCCCTTGATTATTAGAAATTATTAACTTAAACAAGGGAGAAATATTTCAAGTTAAAACTTAGCTTTTATATATATATATATATATATATTCATAGAAACTGTAAAGGAAACTTTTGCTTTCATAAAAATGTGTACTATATTGGAACAGAGCAACTTTAACTTTTGCAAAATAAAAATGAAAATCAACACAAAAAAGACAAAATAAATCAGATTAGGTTTCTACGGCATTGTATATGGATGAAAGTTGCTTAATGTGTATTATTTCTTGTTAAACTGACAAGACGGTCTTATTTACTCAAAAGCGGATCTCATTCAGTTCAGTAAATTTCTAGCAATATTCGCAACTACGGTCCATGTTTTAATTTTATTTTGCTCAATATGTACACATATTTACAATGCAATTATTATAAGCTTCCTAGAATCACAAGAAGCAGTAGCACAAAATAATCTTAAATAAATAAATAACTTACCTTAATACTCAGTTCTTTTCTTGCCTGCTCAGTTTTACTTAGTTCTTTTCTAAGAATGTCTATTGTCTCCTCCATATCTGTTTTCTCCTTCTGTCTGGCTTTTAGTTTTTCTTCCTGAATTTTTATCTTCTGCTGTAAACCTTTTGAAAAATGTATAAGAAAAAAAACCTGGCTTGCTTTTTTCCCAAAACTTTTGGATACTGATACTTTCCCACAACTACCATTACATGAATTGTGCAGCACTGCCATCTGCTGAACATTGGCAGTTCACATTTTACAGTCCTCAGCATTTGTCTTAATAAAGATGCATTTTTCAGCCTAGTGCAAAAACATGAGTTTTTGACTTGAAATGGGGATTTTAAGAACTTTCTCCTAAACAAAACATAATAGCTAAATTTAATGTTGCACTTAGCCGTAACTTACTTAACCTTGGCTTGTTTAATAAACCAAAATGACAGCTGTCACATATCATACTAAACCAAAACCAAAGAAACCACACTATAGCTAAGAGGAACATGTAAACTCAGACTTTTTTTTTTTTTTTGCATAATCTCCCTTAAATATAAATAATTTACTTTGAACAACAGAAGCTGCTTGCATTAGTTAATTCAGCAACTTACATTAATTACTGTACCATGGCTTGCTCATATGGCTACATTGAGCTCAATTGTCAACTACAACAATTACTGCTTCTAACTCATGATCAGATTTCTGTTATTTGTCCAGATGAAGAAAGTATTCCCTTGTGGTATTGTTACAAATCTGTGCTGTGATCTGTGTACTGATATTCCAGTTTCTATTAATCAACACTGAAAATACCCTGTACTTTCAATGTTACTGTTACTGTTTGCCAGGATTAAATTAGCATTTAATTGTGAGTCTAAGTAATAGAATATGCTCTTCTTCAAACATAAACATGTTGCGTAGATAGTAAAGAACTCTGACCTAAAACACTAATACAGTTTAGTTTAATTTAATTTAAATTAGGCAACAACCAGCTCCTAAACAGCTAAGGAGTGGAGAAAACTAGCAGCGGGAGGTAGGGCTGGCAGGACCCTGCATTGTTTCCCAAGGTGGTGGTGGGCACTCAGGGGCGGAAAGGGGGGAATGTCCTACCTTGTGCTTCATCCCTGACACTTCTGGGCTGCCATTAGCAGTCTCCTTTGGCAGAGCTCTGCTGCTGCCTTTTTGTCCTTTTAAGCACACCACCTACCACATCTCACTGAAGGCTCAGCAGAGAGAAGCTCCATATGTGGAGAGGTTGAATCTGGATATTAGCTGCCCTTCTCATGGGCTATGAAAGATAAAGGTCACTGCATCCTCTACTTAGTTCTTAGCAAAATTGGTGAGATAGCCCATGCCTCTCCCCCCACTAACACTGGCTTTGATTCAGAGTATAGGTACAATCTCAAAAACAAAACAATTCAGAGGTCCCGTCTATTTAAATATATCCTGAACCAGGATGCACTTTTAACACTGAGCATGGGCAAATAATATCATTAAGAAACGGGGAGCTGAAGGGAATAGCTTAATAAGTAGGCACATTTTCTTCTCCAAGGCTCTATGGGATTTCTGTTGGCAGGGCAGAAGATAGGGAGTAGCACTTTTCTTTATTTCTTTTTTAAAACATTTCTTTTTTGAGACTGCTTCACTCCCATTAATAATACTTGGATTAAAAGAGTTCCCTGCCTGTTTTGGGAGCAGACTAGGATTCAGCATGCCTCATTTTCTGCCTGGATTTCTAAAGTGAGGGAACAGCATTTGTATCATTTACCAGAGCCTCTCAGAAGGAGTTTGAGTCAGATTTTTCTGCACAGCTTAGAAAGCAGGGTTTTGAAATACCGTTTGTCTTTGGGATGTCTTAAAAGGGAGCACATAATTGTAGGCTTACAGCTTTTCAAATATAAAATATTTGATATGTTACCCAGTCTGGCAATGAACATCTACAAGAAAACAACGAAGCTCAGAGAGCACGAAGAACCCAACTAATATGCGATAACAGAACGTGTAATTTTTCCACCCTTTCTCTATAAATCAATATTTCTGAAAAAGCTGATACGTTTATCAGTACTAACTTGATACTTTTCCATCTTTTTCTTGCATCTGTTTGTGCAATTCTTTTCTATGTTCTTCTGTTTCCAGCAGCTGAGCAACAGTTCTGAAATTGTAGGTACAAATATTACATTAGACATATTAAAATAGACATGCAGAAATATTGCTATGTCTCTAATAACATACTGTAGCCACATATACCAATAACTCAGCATTACTTGTTCTGAAAGTTTATTTTCCAATGATATGCCTCTAACAGGGAGGAGCACTCCGGATCCCTTTGTTGAAACTGTCATATTTGGACATTCATGGAAACTAAAGCTCTTCATGTCATTTCATAATGTTGAAAGACATTAAGAAGAAAAATGAATCAGATAAAAAGTTGAAGTCGGATAGGTGACAAGTGTGAAAAAATTTAAGTAATACAATTACTTAATAGATATACAATTCCAAAGTCATACAACAATATAAATGAAGGAATCCTAGTAACTGGAAATAAATTCAAAAATATTTTGATTAAAATAATTTTATTTTTACTAATAGTCATTTGTCTCCAATTACTGTATAATTTTTATTGACAAAAAGCTAATGTACAACTTTTGTTATGATTCAAACAGAAATGTTTAATTTAAATGTAGCTTTCTTTAAACTTTACCAAAGAACTTAACTTACTTTTCATTCTGTTGCTTGAGTGATTCATTCAGCCTTTTAAGGGTCTCAAGTTGTTTATTCAGTGAATTACACATTAGCTGCACATCATTATACTGCTTTTCAATAGTTTCATGCCTAAAATGTTCAAATTATTACTATTAAAAAGAATGAATGCTATGCAGTTCTCCATAATATAATATTTGATAACATACAGTAATACCTCGGTTCACGAATGCTTCTGTTCACGAACAATTCGGTTTGTGAACAGCAGCGTTCGCAAAATTTTGCTTCCATTCGCGAACTCCGCATCAGGTGACAAACACGACCTGCGGCCATCTTCCCTGCTCTGACATGTGGTCGTGGCTTCCTCTAGGGAAGATCACATGAAGCTTTTTGGTGTCGCCTCAAGCAAGGTTAGCGTTCTCTCTCTTCGGACTGTTCTGTACTTTGTTTCATATTTTTGTGGGTAAAAAAAAAATA